CAAATAATCCAATCAAGAAATGGGCAGAAGACATGAATAGACACTTTTTTTTTTCCAAAGAAGACATCCAAATGGCCAACAGACACATGAAAAAGTGCTCAACATCACTCGGCATCAGGGAAATCCAAATCAAAACCTCAATGAGATACCACCTCACACCATTCAGAATGGCTAAAATTAACAAGTCAGGAAATGACAGATGTTGGAGAGGATGCAGAGAAAGGGGAACCCTCCTACACTATTGGTGGGAATGCAAGCTGGTGCAGCCACTCTGGAAAACAGTATGGAGGTTCCTCAAAAAGTTGAAAATAGAGCTACCATACGACCCAGCAATTGCACTACTGGTTCTTTACCCCAAAGATTCAAATGTAGTGATCCGAAGGGGTACGTGCACCCCGATGTTTATAGCAGCAATGTCCACAATAGCCAAACTATGGAAAGAGCCAAGATGTCCATCGACAGATGAATGGATAAAGAAGATGTGATATATATATATATATTATATTCCATTATATATATATATATATATATTCCATTATATAATATATATATATATATAATGGAATATTATGCAGCCATCCAAAGGAATGAAATCTTGCCATTTGCAATGACGTGGATGGAACTGGAAGGTATTATGCTGAGCGAAATAAGTCAATCAGAGAAAGATATGTATCATATGATCTCACTGATATGAGGAATTCTTAATCTCAGGAAACAAACTGAGGGTTGCTGGAGTGGTGGGCGGTGGGAGGCATGGGGTACCTGGGTGATAGACATTGGGGAGGGTCTGTGCTATGGTGAGCGCTGTGAATTGCGCAAGACTGTTGAATCACAGACCTGTACCTCTGAAACAAATAATACATTATATGTTAAAAAAAAGAAGATAGTAGGAAGGGAAAATTGAAGGGGGGGAAGGCAGAGGGGGAGACGAACCATGAGAGACTATGGACTCTGAGAAACAAACTGAGGGTTCTAGAGGGGAGGGGGTGGGGGGATAGGTTAGCATGGTGATGGGTATTAAAGAGGGCACGTACTGAATGGAGCACTGGGTGTTATATGCAAACAATGAATCATGGAACACTACATCAAAAACTAATGATGTAATGTATGGTGATTAACGTAACATAATAAAAAAATAAAGAAACATGCTTGGCAAAAAAAAATAAATTAACAAATAAAATAAAAGCTATGGTACTAGAAGTTCTAAAAGGATTTCATTATAATATTTTAAGTATTAAGCTGTTCTGTAATATAGATTATGTAAATGTTAAGTTTCAGTATACTTAATTTTCATATTATATAAAAGAACTGGGTGAACAAGAACACCTTTGCTGTTATGATTAAAGGTTTATAGACCTCTCTTTCATTCTACTTACATAAGGCAAACTAATAAAGCCTTTTTTCTCCAGAAAGTTTTCTCTATCTTATAGTAGAATGAAAAGAATACTGGACTGAAAATCAACTCCAGCTCTGCCATTTATTGGTGTATGACCATGGACAAGATAAATTATACACACCTTGGCTTATCTAACTACACAATGATGGACCAGGTCCCTTCCAGCTCCAGAAATCTATGACTTTGAAATACGTAAACAAAGACTCTTCTATTAAAAGAATGTTCAAGCCAAAATGAAAAATAAATATTTATGTAAAATCTGGCCACTTATTGCAAATTTAGTCATTCACAATAGGACAGTATCTATCTTTATATATGGACAGAAAAATCTTAGTGTGCAAATTAACAATGGAAGGTATATCTGAAGAAAAGATTAGTTTATGAAAAAGTATTCAATTAAGTATTATGCTAAGTGTGTTAGAGAATGTAAAAATGAGTATGACATTTAAACACTGAGGAGGAAGAATAAAAATGCACACAAATACATGACAAAGGAGAATGTGTTAAGTGCTCTAATAAAATACATACAACATAGTAATGGGAACACAGTAGAGGACATGTAGAATTTGCTTTTTTTACAGGAGATGAGGGAAGAGGTCATAAATAATTGTCCCATAAGAACTTCTACTAGTCAACTCTTTGTTGGTTAAAGGTCTATGTACTTGAAAAAAGTAACACTTTGTTTACTTAAAATATTATAAAATTTAGACAGAACAGTCTAATTAATCAGGTATTATTGTGTTTACATGGAGTGACACCATGAGATTTTCATTACTCTTGCCTCTTCTACTTTTGCTTAGTTTACAAGATACTTTTTGTCTTCCCTGTTTTCCAAAAGGGAAGCAGTAAAATGCCAATGTTCTTGAAGCCTGCAGTTTGGAGGTGAGGAGTTAGCTGAAACTGTTGTAGCAATAAAACACATAAAACTATCACCTCTCACACCTACCACACTTTAACTGAATGAACAAAGTTTATGAACTCTGCATGGACAGGAGGCAAAGAGAATCATCTTTTATATGCTTCTGGTGTTGGCATTCACCAATAGCAAGAAGAACATTTAAAAATTGTAATGAACTGCAATTAAGTAAAGCAACTGTCAACAGATGATTGTAAGCCAAACCATGAGAGACTCTTGACTCCAGGAAAACAAAACAAAACAAAACAAAACAAAACTGAGTGCTGTGGAAAGGTAGGTGGGTGGAGGGTTGGGGTAACTGGGTGATGAACATTAAGGAGGGCACATGATGTGATGAGCACTGGGTGTTATATGCAACTAATGGATCATTGAACAGTACGCCAAAAACTAGTGATGTACTATATGTTGGCTAATTAAATTTAAATAAAAAAAAAAAGAAAAGAGATGATAGCAAATTCCACAATTCTCACAACTAAGGGGTGCTGGTTTAAGGAGTTATGGGCAACTGAAGAATAGTTTACCTTTATCAGTAATTTAAAACAATCAAAAAAATCAAACTGTTAAAATGTACAGGAGATAGGTGGTTTTTTTTTTTTAGAAGGTTCATGTAAGTTCCTTTGCTCAGCATTTGCCACCGTTTTCAGAAAAATTTCAAAGATAGAACTAAAGTCACTTGATCCATAAAAAAGGAATACATGAAAGACCTTGTGAAATATTTCAACAATATCCCCCAATATCTTTTCCTATGTTAATTACTCCAGAATATCACACTAAAAGAGGAGGGGAGAATAAAACTAAGCTTTAATATGTATTATTATTTCTTTATTTTTTAGCAGGGGGAGCAGCAGAGGGAGAAGCAGGCTCAATCCCAGGACCCTGGAAGCATGACCTGAGCCAAAGGCAGACGCTTAACCAACTGAGCCACCCAGGTGTCCTGTATTATTATTTCTTAAGCACTAGACAGACTCAAACATAAAACACATGGAACATGGAAAACTGAAATCTAAGCATAATTGTCATATGAATCTCTATTTCAGCATTACATTCACTGTTGCTTGTTATTTTTTTAAAAGAAATGCAAGAGGATCATATGTATAGCTTTAAACACTGGACTTACTCCTTGGGAAAATGCATTTTCTGACAAACAAACTGGCTGACTAGAACATACATGTATTTATTGAATACTAGTAGTTTCAATCACTTTACATGGAGAAATACAACAAATTATAAATAAAACAAACTGCAAAGAAATGGAATTTTGGAGAATTTAGTCCCCAAATTTTATAGATGAGAAAACTGAGGCAGCTAGTTAGTAGTTCACAAACTAATAGTCAGTACTCCTGGCTTCCAATCGGGTGTTTTTTTACTATACCACACAGTACACTTGTCTCATAGCCAAGATCCAAACATAATTCCTTATGTGTTTTTCTAATGTTTAAAAGGTAGTTACAATCAAATCCCTGATTTATTTACTCTATAATAATTAGGATATGAGATTTACTCCACAATATACTCTACAGATAAGCTAGTATTCTTGAGACAGTTATGTTTTATAATTAGCAGCTATTAAGTATAAGCAATTCCTTTTGTCTTAAATTGTTTTCTACTTCAAATTGCAGCTTAAAAGCTTCAGGACCCTATAAACCACATGCTGACAGCCTGTGGATTTTTGTTTTAAAACTCAAAATTTTTAAATTATATATGTTAAAAGAGTTCATAGTCAAGGTTTGATCAATTTTTTTCCCCTAAATTAAATCAGGCCGGTTACACTGGAACTGTACAGCCTACTATGGCAGCCACTAGCCATATGTGGCTATTAAGCCTTTTAAAATGTGGGTAGTCCAACTTGTGGTGAGCATAGTATAGTGTATAAACTAGTTGAATCACTATGCTGTATACCTGAAACTAATGTAACATTGTGTGTCAACTATACACAAAAAATTAATGAAAAAGAAAAATAATTTTTGAAAAATGTGGGTAGTCCAAATTTATATGGGCTCTAAGTATAAACTACACAGCAGGTTCTGAAGACTTAGTATAAAAAAAAGAATGTAAAATATCTTATTAATTTTTATACTGTTTAGATATTGAAATGATATATTGTGGATATACCAGGTTAAATAAAAGATATTCTTAAAATTAATTTCACCTGTTTCTTTTTTGTTTTTTAATGTGGCCGCTAGAAATTTTTAAATTACATATGTGGCTTACATTATATTTCTATTGGACAGCTCTAAGTTTTCAATAATAAATATCTAGGTGGTACTGATAAAAAGTTTGTATATTCTCAAAGAATAAGTTAGCATAAAACTGCATAATCACTAGTCAATGTCTGTGCTAAAGAAGAAATGATGTGTAAAAATACACTAAATACAGAAATCAGCTCTAGTTGGCTTTAAATTTGTGTTTTCCCCCAGTAGATTTACATTTTTAGTTTTGGTTAATACTGAAAATAGTTTATATTCCTTGAACACATATGAACTGATATGAGAGAAATATCGCCTAGAAGCATGGAAGAAAAAAAAGTCAGGCTTCATCTTGTTCAAACCACATATAAATGTGAGTTGACTTAAAAACAAATACTGACATATAAACACCATCAGATACTCTGCAAATACAGACTAGGCTACAACTTAAAGGTTTTAGCAATTTAAAGTGAATGCAACAAAAGATATTTATAATTTATACCTTTGCTCCATCTGAAATATTGTCCCAGTTTCCACCACTCAATGAGAACTTGCCATTGCCTATACGTAGCAGTATCTCTTCAGGAGTATCATTGGGGCCATTAGCAAATGGAGTGTAGCTATTAATAAAATAGATTTTAATAGACATTAGGGCCTAACATACAAATTAAATCTAATTAAAAGTGAAGAGGATAAGACAACATGCAAATATTTACTACAGCAAATTAAGAGTATCATCTAATATTTTCCTTCATTCTTCATATCAAATTTTATATTTCAATGAACTTAATTCTAATGAATTAATTGAGTCTTGCCTACATTGATATTTTTTCCTTTGATCAGTTAATCAATGTAAAATAAAATAAAGGTGGCATTTTATGTAAAGCTATAGGCTTAAAATTGGACCAGAATAAAACATGCAAATTTTGTATTCTCCCAGGCATAAGTTAGCAAACCAAATATACTTACTATGAAGAAATCATCAATTTTATATATTTAGAATGTATTTATTGATTAGTTCAAATTTATTCATTAGCATTTTATCAGTATTATCCACGGGAACAGGTTAACAATATTTTAATTAATGTCTATAAACAATGGTTTAAATATTTATATCAATATAACAAAAAACCTCTATAGTTGAAGACAAATAGATTGTACAAAGTTAAAGTAGTTTAAAAATTAATTATGGAATAACAAAAGTGATCAGTTTTGTAACATTCTAACAGGTGGAACTGAAAATGGTATTCAAATTTGGGAATAGAAAGGCTTATGGTTAAGAAGTATGAGGAAGATATCTTAATATGCTAATGCTTAATTCTCTTATGTAACAATTAAGTAGAGATAACTACTCTTCGCTTTAGTACTTCCTGTGGTCTATAACTAAATATTTTGTATAAGTACATAGCATATCTATAAATATTTGGAATACACTGATACATGTAATTACCACCAAGTCAATAAATAATTCAGTCACAATATTCATAACATATTTACAACACTCCTGTTATGTCAAGAATATTTAAATTATACTAAATGCCTTCTTTAAAAAGTCACACCTAAGTATATTATATAATTACATTATAATTCTTCAAATTCCATTCTATGCCTTTTTCTACAGCCATATTTATTCTTAAATAACATTATTATTAAGAGTAAAACAGCACTTATATTATTTGTAAATTACCAATAGTAAAATAATCCAATTATTCCTTTTTTTTTTAGTATTTATCTTTTTCAGAGAAGGCTGCTGTGTATGTTTCTGTAGTTTAGTATTCTGTTGCTATTTATATTTTTTATAAAGCTCAGTCTTACTTAATCTCTACCACCAGGAAAGCCAGAATTCAAATATTTTAAAAATTTAAATCAGTATCAACAAGCTCAATGGGCAAACACCCATTAAAAGAAGAAATTATTTTATGTTCAAGTAAACATTTTCAAACCTTAATGGACTGAAAGTAAAATACCAAAATAAAAATATGTGCTTTATTTTTAAAAGTTTTAGTTCTAGTTGAAAATTCTTTTAATTTATATATCTGAATAATGCCTCATCAAATACCTTACTTCATGTTTTCACATTTTATAAATAAACAATAGATATTTTAAAATGTTCATATCATTTTACTTAAGGCTATTTTCATCTATCCATTTCTTTACAGATAGAGATATATAGATGAAATTCAAATTATGATGTGTATTATTATTTCTTACCCAGCCAGCATCGTGTAAAAAAGGACACCCAGGCTCCAAATATCACAAGCAGCATCATAGCCCTGTTGCATAAGAACCTGAGAAAGAAATACACATTATCTGGTATTACTCAGTATAAATTCGGTTTTATTATCCAAAAGACAGTTGTATTTCCAATAATCTCACAAATGTTCACAATGTAAAAGCTTAGATCATTTAAATCTTTTCAATAATAGATTCATGTAATGTCAAAGGCAAAGTCTTTTGCAATTAGCAAGCATTAAGTAAATGGCTATTAATAAGGTGATTGAGTAACATGGGTCATTAAAAAAAAAAAAAACTTTGAAGATATGATCCCTGACCCTAATGAGTTTTCACTCCTCCTCTTAGAAAAACCAGACACAGACAACAAAATTTAAGATTAATATTGTATAGAGAGCCTAATATGTACTATACACAATACTGTCTTTTCATCCTGACACTGACTCTATGAGGTAGATATTACTCTTTCTATTTTGAAGATGAGGACACTAAGGCAAATATACTATAATTTGCCCAACATCACAAAACTAGTAAGTAGTACAGTTGGTATTCTTACTCTAGAGATTGTGCTTTTAATATCTATGATAATTGCTTCCTTTCCATGCAAAAGATGGTAAGATAATATATGCTCTCATGAAAGCAAGATGGATTTATATTTTACATCAAAGCTTTATATGTTTTGGGAAGAGAAGTATATTTCTGGATCACAAAAACACATCTGATACATTCCGAATGGTTTCATTAATTTTTCATGCAATAGTTCAGCTAGTTGTTCTGTGTCTTAGAGCTAGTGATTATATCAAATAATATGTTTATTATATATTCATGTGAGTTTTCTCTATGAAATTAATAAATTTTGTTGAAAAATAGAGATGACATGGATTGCAAGAACAAATACTATAAAAATCTCTATAGTACCCAAAGCAATCTACACACTTAATGCAATCAAAACACCACCAGCATTTTTCAGAGTTAGAACAAACAATCCTAAAATTTGTATGGAACCACAAAAGACCCCAAACAGCCAAAGCAATCTTGAAAAAGAAAAGCAAAGCTGGAGGCATCACAATTCCAGACTTCAACTTATATTACAAAACTGGAATGATCAAGACAACATAGTAGTGGCACAAAAATAGACACATAGTTCAGTAGAACAGAATAGAAAACCCAGAAATGAACCCACAAATCTATGGTCAATTAATCGTTGACAAAGCAGGAAAGAATATCCAATGAAAAAAAGTCTTTAACAAATGGTGTTGGGACAACAGGACAGCAACACGCAAGAGAATGAAACTGGACCACTTTCTAACACCATACAAAAAAATACACAAAATGGATTACAGACCAAAAAATGGATTAAAGACCTAAATTAAGACAGGAAACCATAAATATCCTAAGAGACAACTGAGGCAGTAACCTCTTTGACACTGGCCATAAGAATATCTTTCTAGATGAGATCAGGCACATTCAGGGTGGTATGACCTAACCTTATACCTAAAGGGGAAGGAGAAAGAACAGCAAATAAAGACTAAATCCGGCAGAAGAAGAGAAATAATAAGGAGGAGCAGAAATCAATGAAATAGAAAACAAAAGAAGAGTAAAAAAAAAAAAGTTTTTCTTACTTTACAATTTTGAGATGTAGTTTCTTCTAACAAACTGACCAAAATACACTCAGGATACAGTGTATTGCTCTGTTCTGTTCACCTGACTGTTTATATTCCTTATTTTTTCTCTCTTTTTTGTATTTAAATTTTCATTTATAGTTACATTCCATCCTTTCATTGTATTTAATTTATTTTTGTACATATATAAGTTTTTCTTTCTGTACATTTTGGGATCTACTTTTCCAGCAAAAGGACCCAAATACACACAGGATCCAGTGTATTGCTCTAGTCTGTTCATCTGTCTGATTATATCCTCTTTAAAAAAAAATTATTTTTTTCAGTTTCAGGTCTCTTCTGATTTGTTTAGTATATATTTCTCTGGGGTTGTTATTGCCATTTTAGCACTTTGTTCTCTTGTCCATCTATTCTTCTCTGGATAGAATCACAAGAAGGAAAAACTCACCTCAAAAAAGAGAACAAAAGGCAGGCAGTACTGACTGCCAGGGACCTAATCAGTACAGACATAAGTAAGATGTCAGAACTAGAGTTCGGAATACCGATTATAAAGATACAAGCTGAGCTTGAAAAAAGCATAGAAGACACTAGAGAATCATTTTCTGGAGAAATAAAAGAACTAAAATCTAATCAAGTCAAAATAAAACAGGCTATTAATGAGATGCCATAAAAAATGGAGGCTCTGGGGCGCCTGGGTGGCTCAGTCATTAAGCAACTGCCTTCAGCTCAGGTCATGATCCCAAGGTCCTGGGGTCAAGCCCCACATCGGGTTTCCTGCTCCACGGGAAGCCTGCTTCTCCCTCTCCCACTCCCCCTGCTTGTGTTCCCTCTCTCGCTGTGTCTCTCTCTGTCAAATAAATAAATAAAATCTATTAAAAATGGAGGCTCTAACTACTACGATAAATGAGGCAGAAGAGAGAATTAGTGATATAGAAGACAAAATGATACAGAATAAAGAAGATGAGAAAAAAAAAGATAACTACTGGATCATGAGGGGAGAATTTGAGACATAACTGACACCAGAAAGTGAAACAATATTAGAATAATTGGGATCCCAGAAGAAGGGGAAATAGAGAGGGGCAAGAGGTATATTGGAGCAAACTATAGCAGAGAAATTCCTTAATCTGGGGAAGGAAATAGGCATCCAAATCCAGGAGGCACAGAAAACCCCCCTCAAAGTCACCCCAACATACAATAGTGAAACATGCATATCTCAGAGACAAAGAGAAAATCCTGAAAGCAGCTCAGGACAAGAGGTCCATAACCTAAGAAATATTAGACAGGCAGCAGACCTATCCACAGAGACCTGGCAGTCCAGAAAAGGCTGGTATGACATATTCAGTGTACTAAATGAGAAGAACATGCAGCCAAGAATACTTTATCCAGAAAGGCTGTCATTCAGAATGGAAGGAGAGATGCAGAGCTTCCAGGATAGAGAGAAACTAAAAGAATATGTGATCACTAAACCAGCCATGCAAGAAATATTAAGGGGGATCCTGTAAGTGAAGAGAGACCCAAGAATAACATAGACCAGAAAGGAACAGAGACACTCTATAGAAACAGGGGCTTTACAGGCAATACAGTGGCAATAAATTCATATCTTTCAATAATTACTCTGAATGTAAACGGACTAAATGCTCCAATCAGAAGACATAGGATATCAAAATGGATGAAAAAATGAGACCCATCAATATTCTGCTTCAAAAAGACTCATTTTACACTGAAAGACACCTCCAGATTGAAAGTGAGGGGGTGGAGAACTATTTATCATGCTAATGGACATCAAAAGAAAGCTGGAGTGGCCATCCTTCTATCAGACAAACTAGATTTTAAACAAAAGACTGTAACAAGACATGAAGAAGGACACTATATCATAACAAAGGGTCTATTAAACAAGAAGACTGAACGATTGTAAATATTTATGCCCCTAAATTGGGAGAAGCCAAATATATAAACCAATTAATAAGAAAATCATTGATAATAATACAATAATATAGGGGACTTTAACACCCCACTCACAGTAATGGACAGCTCATCTAAGCAGAAGATCAACAAGAAAACAAGGGCTTTGAATGACACAGAGGACCAGATGGACTTAACAGATATATACAGAGCATTCCATCCTAAAGTAAAAGACTATACATTCTTCTTGAGTGCACATGGAACATTCTCCAGAAGAGATCACATAGTGGGTCACAAATAAGGTTTCCACGGATACCAAAAGTTTGGGATTATTCCCTGCATATTTTCAGACAATGCTTTGAACCTGGAACTCAATCACAAGAGGAAAGTCAGAAAGAACTCAAATACAAGGAAGCTAAAGAGCATCCTACTAAAGAATGAATGGGTCAACCAGGAAATTAAAGAAGAATTTAAAAAGTTCATGGAAACAAATGAAAATGAAAACACAACTGGTCAAAATCTTTGGGATGCAGCAAAGGCAGTCCTAAGAGGAAAGTATATAGCAATACAAGCCTTTCTCAAGAAACAAGAAAGGTCTCAAGTACACAACCTAACCCTACACCTAAAGGAGCTGGAGAAAGAACAGCAAATAAAGCCTAAACCCAGCAGGAGAAGAGAAATCATAAAGATCAGAGCAGAAATCAATGAAATAGAAACTAAAAGAACAGTAGAACAGATCAACGAAACTAGGAGCTGGTTCTTTGAAAGAATTAACAAGATTGATAAACCCCTGGCCAGACTTATCAAAAAGAGAAGAGAAATGACCCAAATCAACAAAATCATGAATGAAAGAGGAAGATCACAAACAACACCAAAGAAATACAAGCAATTATAAGAACATATTATGAGCAACTATATGCCGACAAATTAGACAATCTGGAAGAAATGTATGCATTCCTAGAAACAGATAAACTACTAGATTCATAAACTACCAAAACTGAAACAGGAAGAAATAGAAAACCCAAACAGACCAACAACCAGGAAAGAAACGAAGAAGTAATCAAAAGTTTCCTGACAAACAAGAGTCCAAGGCCAGATGGCTTCCCAGGGGAATCCTACCAAACATTTGAAGAATTCATACCTATTCTTCTGAAGCTGTTTCAAAAAATAGAAATGGAACGAAACTTCCAAACTCTTTCTATGAGGCCAGCATTACATTGATCCCAAAACCAAAGACTCCACCAAAAAGATTTACAGACCAATATCCATGATGAACATGGATGCCAAAATTCTCATCAAAATACTAGCCAATAGGATCCAACAGAACATTAAAAGGATTATTCACCACGCCTACATGGGATTTATTTCTGGGGTCCAAGGGCGATTCAACATCCACAAATCAAGTAATTTGATACATTATATTAACAAAAGAAAGGACAAGAAACATATGATCCTCTCAATAGATGCAGAGAAAGCATTTGACAAAATACAGCATTCCTGGGGCGCCTGGGTGGCTCAGTTGGTTAAGCGACTGC